GCAAGCTGCAGAACAGGTTCAGACGACCCCGTGGATGAAGAAGAGGAATGCCACTTTTAGACCTTTGTCTTCCGATGACATAATTAATTTTAGAGCATGGCAATACACACAATAGAAACAGGTTGTCATCAAAAACCTAAATTACTATAGTGATCTCTTCTATAGAGGAATGGAAAAACTACAGCAAAATTAATTAACACTTCTCCGATCCCCATTCTCTCGGTGTCCACTGGATGCAATTTTGAACCCTGTGGCTGGTTTAATACATTTAAAATCCCAAAATCTCACTCAAATACGGGCAGCTCTTCGCAACCATCCATTGACCTCTAGGAACTATGAGGATCGACGTCCTTGTTTTCTTGATGTTAGACCGAAATTTTTTCCCAAAACCATTGGTACAGACGATGTAGACGATCACTCACGTGTTGTCCAAACCTCTGCTGAAACCAGGCACGTCGCTTGGTTGGTTTTGTATGATAGCTTTGACAGGGACGGATTCGTCTGTAATTTGAATTCGATGGTGGGTGTTGCCATCTACTCATCCAGTACACTAGTTTAAGGTCCCAAAGACTAATCAACTGAAACCTTTGGAGTGGCGGCAGCATTTTTTATGTCGTTATACTACAACAGCCCATAATATTTATCAAAATTTACTAATTCTCCAGATGTGTACACATTAATTCCCCAAGGTGCTACTGCTGGAGGTTCCGCGATTACTTATCCCTTAGCTAAACCGCACTGAAGGTTGTCCCACTATGCATCACTTGTGGACGTACTAACTACCCTACAGTTGAGCTCATGGGCAGATCTGTCTTCCCGGAGTTGCTGTCTTTTCAACAATAAGATTTGTTATGAGGTTCTGCTGCAGACCGTACAAACCTAACTGCATAGGATACCCCAGTAGGCGGCTTCGAATACGCGTAGAAGAACTAGTTAGGCCAGTGGGGGCTTAACTGTTCCTTTATGGTGAACATCTAAACATACTGGGACTGAAGTCACAAACTAAATTAAAGACTGGAGAGCAAGGAATATTGTGGAGGCCTAAGGCCTACATTCTGCATCCAGTGTCTAGTGTTCAATCTGTAGATGCTGCAACACCTGGGGTAGGGTATAGCTGGCTGATGATAACTAATAAGCCAGAAAGGGTCATTCAAATCTCCCTTGTATTTGACAATAATGTTCTGCTGCCTACAATGCTTACCACTATGGGGCTGTTGGTGGGGCTCGAGAGTGAGCCCCAAGGCAGTACGCGAGGAGGGAATCCCATTAGCGATCAGTGAGCACCCATCCACCAAAGTCACTATTGTTCATTTGGTGAGCTAAACCCCCTATAAGACAACTCTCAAAAAGTTTAATTTTGTCGGGTACTAAGTGCTGATGACTGTTTATAAGGCAGAACTGGCCATTTCGGTCTCCCTTGTCTTTGTAAGTAATGTTCTTCTGCTAGGGTGTTATTCTCCCTCCAGCTTTTCGGGTCTTGCGTGGGTGTTGCGATAAATAAAACCACAAAGAGTAAGCAAGCCGGGCGTAAAGGTAAACTGCGAAACAAACACTGGTGGAAATGTCTGAATGCGGTTCAGTTGACACTTTTACGGAGAGACAAATAAGTAACTGAACCACATCCAACAGCAGTCACAAGCTGTTCCACATAAATGGCCTACGACGACCGACCTGCCAACCTCC